GCTGACGTTCCTCAAGTACAATCGCGACGGCGATCTGCTGTTCTCGTGCGCCAAGGACCACCAGCCCACCGTGTGGTACACGGATAATGGCGAGCGCGTCGGGACGTACAAGGGCCACAACGGCGCCGTCTGGACGTGCGATGTCTCGCGTGAGTACTCAGATAGCGAATTCCCGGACTTCCATTGATCGTCGATGTGAAGTGAGGCGACGCACCACTTCCTGGATGCAACCGAAAAAGTTGGTGCGAGTGCCGTCGACGCGTACAAAAGCAGTAACGAAGGCGTTTGTAGCGGTGATGGCTCTCCTGGGGGATTAGAAAGGCCTTCCGCCATTAGGTATTAGGTATTAGGCCTTCAGCCATCAAATTTCGGACCGTTTTTGGTGACTGTTAAGGTTGTTAGACTTGTTAACGTTCAGTGCAAGGGCTACACTAGCGATCAGGCTAGGTTTGGGTTACTGGATAGGTTTCGTCAATCGTCCGTTACGGCTATCTCATCGAGGCTTGAGCAGAATTTGTTGATTACGAGAGCGTTTATGGTGCTGTGCGGGTTTGGAGGAAGTCGCTGTGATTCAGCCGGAATTCTGACCGTTTAGCTGTTTTCCTGATCCGTCAGTTGTGCCGCTTAGGTCCTTCGTAGGTTCTAGGTTATTTAAGTTCAGGGCTGACCGAGTTAGCTGATTCATAACCTAGCCACTACGAAGGCGTGACGGAATGGTAGGAGCTGCGGCACTAAAGGGTTTAATCAGGGTTTTTTGCGGTTAATTTCCGACTTATGCTTCTTATCGCCGTCATTCCCTCCGTTCCCCTTCAGTCATAGGTTGTTATGGCGCATCGAGCCTTGACACGCTCTTATGGGATTGGAAGGACAAGCTCTTACCTTTCTCGTACTTTTCCCTTACCTTCCACTTACCTTGCTCTTCCCTTTCCTTACCATCTTCCTCCCCGGACCCTCTCTCCCCCATCCCTCTTCCTTCATCCCTTTTCGTCTTCCTTTCCCGTCCCGCTGTCCGTGCATCCCTCATCCTGGTTTCTTTATCTCCTCGTCCTCGTTACAGGCGACTCGAAGATGCTTATAACGGCGTCGGCGGATCAGAGCGTGAAGCTGTGGGAGGTGGAGACGGGCACGCCGTACTACACCTTCACCATGGACGGCCCTGCGCGCTCCGTCGCGCTCGCGGAGGGAGAGCAGCTCGCGGCGATCACGGTGGACCCTTTCATGGGCAGCGTGCCGGCCATTCACGTGAAGCGGATCAAAGAAGGAAGCCGAGAGCGTGAGTATCGCTTTTCCCCTCCCACATCAGCCCTTATCCCTTAGTCAGCGAGCAGCGAGCACCCAGCAGCTCGCGGCGATCACGGTGGACCCTTTTATGGGCAGCGTGCCGGCCATTCACGTGAAGCGGATCAAAGAAGGAAGCCGAGAGCGTGAGTATCGCTTTTCCCCTCCCACATCAGCCCTTATCCCTTAGTCAGCGAGCAGCGAGCACCCAGCAGCTCGCGGCGATCACGGTGGACCCTTTTATGGACAGCGTTCCGGCCATTCACGTGAAGCGGATCAAGGAAGGCAGCCGAGAGCGTGAGTATTGCCCCCCCCCCCCTCCCCCTCTCCCCTTCTCCTTCCGTCCTCCCCTCCCCACTCTCTGGGACTCGTGGGTTGGATCGCTCCGTGTGCTGGATCACTCAACATCCTGCGTCTGCCTCCCCTCTGCGGCTTTTGAGGCGCCCCTTGAGGCGACTTTTGAGACGCCTCAAAAGCAGTCTCTGGGACTCGTGGGTTGGATCGCTCCGTGTGCTGGATCACTCAACATCCTGCGTCTGCCTCCCCTCTGCGTTGTCACTTCCGTCTCCCGTCCCCACCATCAGAGGACGAGGAGTCGGTGCTGCACATCACGGGCCCCCAGGGCCGAAGCATGCGCTGCTCCTGTCCCCGTCTCTCCCTCTTGCCTGACTCTCTCCCCCTCCATTCCTCCTGTTCTTTTCTCACCATCAGAGGAGGAGTCGGTGTTGCACATCACGGGCCGCCAGGGCCGAATCATGAATTGATTGTGTCCTTCTCTATGTATCTCCTCTTCCCCTTCTCTCACCAACAGAGGAGGAGGAGTCGGTGCTGCACATAACAGCCCCCCAGGGCCGAATCCTGCGCTGCGTGTGTGGGGCCCACTCAGTATCCTGTCTCTTTCTCACCTCTGTATTGTCTCTTCCCTTCCTCTCATTTCTGACCATCAGAGGAGGAGTCGGTGCTGCACATCACAGGCCCCCAGGGCCGAATCATGCGCTGTGTGTGGGGCCCACTCAACCAGACGCTCATAGGCGCGGGGGAGGACTGCATCATCCGCATGTGGGACGCGGAGGTGAGGCGGATGGGGGGTTTTCATAGGTGTAATGGTGGGTGGTAGTGTTAGGTTGGGTGCTGGAGGTGGGTGTGATTGATAGGTCCCCACTCAACCAGACGCTCATAGGCGCGGGGGAGGACTGCATTATCCGCATGTGGGACGCTGAGGTGAGGCGGATGGGTATTTGTGGGAGGTGGTAATGGGAGGTGCTGATGGGAGGTGGTTTCAGCTTACGTGATTTGATGGGAGGGGAGTTATTGGCTTGCTGCTACGCTGTTATGAAAAAAGTTCGTACGCTGCTACACTATCATTCATCCCCCCACATTCATGGCCCCAAGCCCTCGGTCCCCAGTTCTTCCCCCCCTTATCCCCTCCCTATCCGCTTCCTGAAATGGGAATTGCATGAAATGGTACAGCAACACCTGCCTATCTCATTCCTCATTCACCCCACTCTCTCCCCCCTGCCTGCTGCTGCGCGAGACAGAGCCGGAAGTGGCGCACAGCAAGACCTGCCTTTCCATGCATCCGATTCCTCACTCACCCCACTCACCCCACTCTCTCCCCCCTTCCTCTCCCTCCCTCCGTGGCTTCCTCAACACAATCAGACGGGCAAGCTGCTGCGAGAGACAGAGCCGGAAGTGGCGCACAGCAAGACAGTGACTTCTTTGTCCAAGTCAGCAGATGGGTCGCACTTCATCACAGGGTCGCTGGATAAGTGCGCCAAGGTGAGAAGGGGTGTGCGTATGGGAAAAAATCATTGTGTGTGGTGCTGGTATGACAGTGACACAGTGACATCGCTGTCCAAGTCAGCAGATGGGTCGCACTTCATCACAGGGTCGTTGGATAAGTGTGCCAAGGTGAGCTACATTCCATGTGCTATAGTTTTCAATAATGTCTAAGAAATAATTGTTCTGCTGATGTAATTCGTCAGCAGACAGGTTTTTTGCATGGATGACAAGGTTTCTAGAAACCCTGTTGCTGTCTTTTTTTCCATACATATGTTTGGTTTCTTGTTATCTCTTGTTTCCAATGCAGCTGTGGGACACGCGCACGTTGCGTCTGCTCAAGACGTACCAGACAGAGCGACCCATCAACGCCGCTGACATCTCCCCTCTCTTCGACCATGTCAGTTCCTCTCCTCTCCCCGTCCACTTAAGTGCCTCACCACTTGAGTTTCCCCCCCCGCTAGTAGCCCACTTCAGTCCCTCACCTCCCATATGCACAGTCATCAACCTGTTGAGTCTGATCTTTATCTTGTGTCTCTTGTTTTTCCCCTTTTTTGCCGTTTTGCTCAGCTTGAATACCTCCGGCTTGCTCCTGTCTTTCCCTGCAGGCGATCAACGCCACCACTTGATAGTTATGTTTGCTTTTTCCTGCGGTTTGCCTACTTCCTATGATTCCCTTGCAGGTGGTGTTGGGAGGAGGTCAGGACGCTGCATCTGTCACCACCACTTCATCGCGAGCAGGAAAATTCGAAGCCGTCTTTTACCACAAGGTTTGTGTGTCCCCTGCTCTGATTACTTCGTTCCTCTGTGCCCATGAACCACTTTACTCGTTTGCAAACGAATTTGGACTTCTTCAGTGCCATTTGTGCCTTCCTTACTCGTAGTCGATTCTGTTCTGTGAGTTTTTTTTTTTAAGGTTGTTATTACTATTTAAGGTCTGTCAGTGCCTTGTGTTCAATGCCCATGCATTTGCTCTCCCATGTACAATTCTGGCAGGTTCTGGAAGAAGAAATTGGCCGGGTGAAGGGCCATTTCGGCCCGTTGAACGCTCTTGCGTTTGGCCCGGATGGACGAAGGTATGCATCTTCGAAGTCATTGTCACTTCGTTCTGTTTTGTTGGGGTGTATTCTATGGTCAGGGAGCTCATTGTTTGTTGGTGTTCGTATGCAGCTTTGCAAGCGGTGGAGAGGATGGTTATGTCCGACTTCACCACTTCGACAATGACTACTTCCATATTCGAGTCTAGATTAAGTTCCTGTTTTGAATTCATGTAGGGTATCAGTGCATGTTTCTGTTTTTGTTGCTAGTTGCAACGTTCCAGCATATTGTGCTCAGCATTTACAAATTTCTAGTTGGGCTAACTTCTTCTTTCCCTCTAAGCAAATAGGAATAAACCAAATCTAAACTGCACATGTAACCCACTAAGCAAACTAAGGCTTCGCCAATGCATCAGCAATCCACGTGTCAGCCACTCGGATAATGGACCACCTGCGACCCCCAGAAGCTGGAATCCCCCACCCCAGCCAATCACGTTGTCTTTAGCTTTCCTCCCCTATCAAGCCCTATCCTCCTTACAGCCACGCATTCTTCTCTTCAGAAACTTGATCATGGGTCAAATCCCGACCTTTTGGACATACCCCGCGTTACAGCCACTTTTATTATAGATGTTCTTCTCTTTGTGTCTCTTTTCATTCAATATAGGACCAGTCGTAGAAGTCGGACAGCTTCAGTTGACCAGCTCCTTTTCTTTTCTGTCGTGTGGAAACTAGCTAGTGTCCTTGGCGGATTAGTAGAACCAAGGATAGGAAGTACCAGTTTCCTCGTGCTCTGCCACGCTTCAGACATTAGCACACCAAAAGTTTGTCTTGTGGAGGTTTATCTATAAGGTTGCGGATTGTTTCAGCCGTTTCAGGCTCAAGCTTGGGTAGTGAAAGACGTCAGGAATGTCAGACGATTGGGGTAAGTTCGCGAATTGGCTGATTCGCTGTTTTGCGTTAGCGCCATCGCAGGCGTATTGAGACTTTATAGTTAGCTTAGTTGATTTGGACTCGTGTTGTTGTGTAAGCGTCAAGGTGCTCTATTGAGCCTTAACATGATGCTCGCAGTCTCGGATCATCTCAAAACGGATGGCGTTTCAAGAGCAGTTTCACCTGTTCGTCAGCGTGTTTGCGAGCCTCGTTCTAGTGTTTGATGGTCTGACGAATCGATCGTTCATTGGTCCAATACGCATACCCGTTGTCGACTATGCCTGGTCCATTCTCCTCCGATATCGGTACAACTTGATGGATGGCTGAGAGTGATTTCAATTAGTCCTTTAATGGCTATAATATCTGCCTACCTGAGGGCTGCGATAACTCGTCAGCAAGACTGCTGACGTGAAAAAGTCATCTCAAGCCTATTGGTTCGACAGCACGCTTCGTAACATTTCCTTCAGTCGCATTTAGTCCTCCTTTTGGGTTCTTCATCACTTGTAGTTTTCAATTCTCTTTGGTAGTGGTTGCAGGAGAACCTTGCTGATTCGTAATTTGCAGCGTCCCCCCTTGCACGCTTGGTTCCTCTCCGTCGCATCCCTCGTCATCCCTCGCTCATTTTCCGTTCCTAAAACCCTTTTCCCCTTCCATTCCCCTTTCTCCTCTGTTTTTTTCCTTTTTCTTACAAACCTTTTGGGCCTGAATTTCGCCCCTCGGTTATCTCCCTTCCCCCTTGTCCCTTCCCGCCTTTCCCGTCCATCTCGTTTTCCTCTCCTTCCCCACCCAACCCCACCTTCGCCTCTCAACTTTCTCCTTCCCCGTCCCCGACCCCTTTTTCACTTCCCCGCAGATGCTGACGACTTTGAGCCGCCGCCAGTGGTGGTGGCGAAGGAGCCAGTGAAGTCATCATGGGAGGACGAGGAGGAGGAAGAAGCGCCGGCTTCCACCACCACTGCCTCAGTCAGTTCCGCGCGCGCTCCACATTTTTGCGCCTTTATTTTTCCGCATTCCACATTTTTTTTTGTTTTTCCTTTTTTTTTTTGTTGAAAATTTGCTGAGAGAGCTTCGCGTTTAACAAGCTGTACATTGGCGTTTGCTGTTGTGCCGTTTCACCAGCAGCTTTCATCGTGTGTCTCATGTCCTGGTGCTGGTGATGGTGCTGGCGTGCTGGTGCTGGATTGCTGCTGTTTTGGTTTGTTGGTGTTGGATGGCTGGTGTGCTGGTGATGATGCTTTTGGATGGCTGGTGTGCTGGTGATGATATTTTGAATGGCTGGTGGCGTGCAGGCGAAGCCCAAGGGTGAGAAGAAGAAGAAAAAGGCGGAGGACAAGGGGAAGGGCAAGGAGAAGGAGGAGGGGGAGGAGGTGGTGGATGATGGAGTGCTTGCAGACCCTGTAGCGGAGAAGCTAAGACAGCAACGGTGAGTAGGAGAGGAGTGAGTTTGTGTATGTCGGGTTGGGTTTGTGGGGTGGGGGAGAGGGGGGGAGGGGGGGAGGGGGAGTGAGTGGGGATGGGTGAGAGAGAGTAGGAGGAGGTGGATGATGGAGTGCTTGTGGCTAGCCAAGAAGCTAAGACTGCATCGGTGGGGGGGTGAGCTGAAGGTACACCACTCTTCAGCTTTGATGTGATTGTGTTTCTTCATGCCCCCCCTCCCCCCCCTTCGTCCTGCCCCACTCATCCCCCCACTCCCCCCTTCCCTTCGTCCTGCCCCACTCACCCCCCCACTCCCCCCTTCCCTTCGTCCTGCCCCACTCACCCCCCCACTCCCCCCTTCCCCCACATGTTCCCCAGTCCTGCTTTCCGTCATACTCTCCAACATTTATCTTCCCCCTCTTCCACCTCCCCATTCCCCACTCCTCTCCCCCCCCCCCCCCCCCCCCCTCGTTCCCCCTCTTCCTCCCCCGTTTCCCCATCCCCCCTCCCAACTCTCCTCTCCCCGCTCCCTACCTGTTCGCGCGTATACACACAGGCTCGTGGAGGAGAGCGACTTCAAAGCAACAAAGGAGCTGTTTGGTGGGAAGAAAAAGGAGGCAGAGCGGTCACTGGATGACTTTCTACCCAAAAGCGAGGCAGACTTTAACGAGTTTGCAGACCTGATTGCTGCTAGGATTACTCCCCACTCGGTACGTGGTGGAAATTCTGGTATCATCCGCCATCTTTCTCCACTTTTCACCTCTATAATTTCTCGCCAGTTCTTCTTGCCATTTCTCACCATTTCTTGTCAGCTGCACAAAAAAAAAAAAAAAAAAAAAAAAACCACAGCAACAAAACAAAACAGAAAAACACACACATTTGTTACCACCACGACCTCCCCCTTTCCCCCGTGGCTCCATTTGTGGGAAAGGACGCCAAGGAGTTGAGATCAGCACTGCCCTTCCGTCCCTCCCGGTCATGCCTCTCATCTTGTGTCTGTCCCTTTGATCATGTTTCCTCGAGTGCAGAAAAGCTTTAACTACATGGCGTTGATCAAAAACATCCTCAGAAAGGTGGAGGTTCCTCTGGTAGGCAAGGACGCCAAGGAGATGAGCTGACCTTGTGTCCCATCCACTCTTGCTCCCCTCCCATGTGCGTCATTTGGGTGATGTTTCCTCGAGTGCAGAAGAGCTTTCATTATGTGTCTCTCATCAAGAACATCCTGAGAAAGGTGGAGGCTCCGTTGGTGGGGAAGGACGCCAAGGAGATCAGCGCCGCTGCTGCTGTGATTGCAAATGAGAAGCTCAAGGCGGAGAAGGAGGCAGAGAAGGGCAAGAAGAAGGGCGGTGAGTGCAGGGAGAGACGCGGGATGAGTGAAAGCATGTCGCAGGGACACAGAGAGGGTCAGGGATGGGTAGCAGAATGGGGATCGACAGGCAGGTCTGAGAATCAGTGCTGCTGCTGCTGTGATCGCGAATGAGAAGCGCAAGGCAGAGAAGGAGGCGGAGAAGGGGAAGAAGAAGGGCGGTGAGTGATGTTGCAGGGACACAGGTTGGGCGCACATGGAGGCAAGGGCTGGGGATGGGTAGCAGAATGGGGACTGACAGGCAGGTTAGTGAATCAGTGCTGCTGCTGCTGTGATTGCGAATGAGAAGCTCAAGGCAGAGAAGGGGAAGAAGGGCGGTGAGTGGGGGTGTGATGGGATGGGAGGGGAGTGAGGGAGAGAAGGGAGTGTATGAGGGGGAGTGGGGTGGGAGAAAGGAGAGGTGGGTGAAAGAATGATAAGGAGGGACACCAATTGGAGTTGGATGGAGAAAGTGGTCGGTGTGGAAGAAAGACGCATTGCAATCATGGATGTGCTTGAATGGAATGGATGTGATTTGTTTGCAGCATTGAATGCACATTTTTTGTCATCCTGCGACAGATGTTCTGCCCTATCCTGAACCATGAGTCATGACCCATCACTCATAATTCCTCCCTATCCCTGACCATGTCCTGCACCTATATGTCTTTTCACCCTGTTGCATGCGTGCACGCTTGTGTGTCCGTAATTGTCTGCGGTTCTGCTCCAGTGTTTGCAGCCAAGAAGCAACAGTTGACAGTGGACCGGCCAGAAGATGATATGTTCGTTTTGACTTTCAGATTCTGACCTGTGTCCGCCTTGTTGCGTGCGTTTGTGTCATGAACTGCTGTGTGGCGCCCTTCCTGCAGCCAAGAAGCAACAGTTGACAGTGGACCGGCCAGAAGATGATGATTATAAGGGGTCTTATGGTGGCCCTGATGATGAATATGACTTCATGTGAAACTGTAGCAAACCTTCCTTAGCATCACATATGGACTGCTGCAAGGTGCTGTAGAAAGTTTAATTAGCCAAGGAGGGCGTGGTGGCAGGGGTCTGCACTGCAACAGCAACACCTGGTCTGCTGTTGCCCATGAGATAAGCCTGGTTTGCATTGGGAAGTGTCTGGTCCGCATGAGTGAAGCCCAGTTCTTGTAAGGGAGGCTTGGACCACATAAGAAAGGTTACCTGGAGAGGTTTGTTAGTATGAGAGAGCCCTGGTCAGTATGAGAGGGCCTTTTGGTCCCCATGAAGGAGGCTTGCAGGAGAGGCCTACTCTCATGTGAGGGAGGCATGGTCTGCATGAGAAAAACCCTGCACCCTGTCTAGGACCAGTGGAATACACTCTCAGGGTTCACTAGGTAGGCAGAGATCTAGGTCTTGAGATGAGACTCAGTAACCGTTCAGTAAGTGGTGTCTTGTAATGAGCAAACCCAGATCTGCCAGATTGGTGTGCTTCAACCTGGCCTGGTGAAACAGGGATACAGTTTGAATGTGACATGGTGATTGTTCAAACTTATACTAACTTGTACACGCACTGGACGGCAACAGGTCAATAAGTATTATCTATAAAAAACTACACCAAGCTAGTGCAGCAAAACATGAGATCATAGCACAGTATGGGCTCATATGGGATCAGGAGGATGAGTGGAATGTGCCCGTTCGGTTCAGCATTACACCCGTTCGATGTGCTGTACAATGCTTTTCTAGTAGGTATCTTACATCCGGTGGCTTGAGAACTGGAAAACGTCACTGCACTGCGACACGTCAAGTAGACCATTCCTGCGACCGTAGCTGCTGCCACTGCTGTCGCCATGACCCCGCTTTGCTGCCGCCGTTTGCGGCGTGTGCCTACGTCTGCTCTCACTTTTCCGAGACAAGTATCGCGGCGAACGGATCAGTCAGTCGATAACGAGAACCGTTTGCGACGCCATCTGTCAGAGAATGGGACACCGTCTGTCGGGAAAACGACAATGTTGGTGAGCTGACACCGTCTGACGGCAAATAGTCACCCGTATGCTGGTGAACGGACACCGTCTGTCAGTCAACGACCACCGTTTGTTGGTCAACAAAAACCCGTTCGTCAGCGTACGGACAGCGTCTGTCAAGAATCGGAGTGCACGGTAACCGTCTGTCAGTGAACGGAGACCACCGATCCGCATCGCGAAAGAGTTTTTGACTGCTGCGACGCTGTCAAGTCGTTACAATAGCATTTCTCATAAAAACGCAGGACCAGGTGAGTCACCGTCAGCCGACGCGCGTCGCGACTGTCCAATCCCCACGCATACGCGCTTCCGCTTCCACCGCTCTCGCCGCTAAAGCCGCTGTTACTTCTGGTGGATGGAGAACGCGCTTCGGGGCTTTCGGGGCTTTCAGATAGTCCATCCTCTTCTGGACGTGCATTCGCAGTGTCCCCTCGAAGTTCGGAAGCGTCTGGCGACCGTGTCGCGTTTGCCGCGGCGTAAAACCGATTTTGGCGGATCTCCCTGTGCAGCAACTTCGCATCGTGGCCGTTGCGGAGTTGCACGAGGAAATCTTGACCGTCCGTCACTTCAAGCAGCCCCGTCGCTGGAGATTTTTTCAGCTCCACGCGGAACCCCAACGCGGTGAGCTTTTGCTGGAGCTGGCTCAAAAGCTTTACCTTGCCCATAATTGCTTTGAACGAGAGGTTTGCGACGGCGCCGAAATAAGGGCCATAGAGGATTGTGAGAGTCGGAGGTTCTCTCGGGGAATCAACCGAGATATTCGTAAAATCAGCGACAGCCATGGCTATCCGTACTCACAATCTCTGACGGTCTTAGTATTACTTGGAGCAAGGGAATCGTGATCTTGGAACAACACGGGAGATCTGTGAATCAAGTACGTCTACTGTAAGCCCCTAACAATAAGACTGTCCAGATGGACAGGGAAAATCTCAATTCCGCGTAACACAATATAGTCGGTGTTCTTGGATACATCCATCCATTCATGGACCATTCCAGTGGGGACTCGGGAAGCGGGGGGAAGGGGGACGGGAGGGGCCGAAGAACCCCCCCAACCAAAACGTGTCGTGTCGATGCGATGCGATGTCAATGGTGGTCGTGTTCTCCTTCCCGTCTGCGCGTGGGACATTGCCAATGGTGATGTGCGATGCGATGTGATGCGAATGGTGTTTTTTTTCGGCCTGTCTCCGCGTGGAACATCATCAGTGCAGCATGCAATGCAGCCACTGCCATGCCATGGCATTGACTCTGAAGTTCCGAACTAACGTTGGCGAACCACCGCCAACACCACCGGGACGACGTCACCAACAGAAGGTGAAGGGGGGGCTGGTCTGGTCTGGCGTGGTTCGTTGCATTGCTAGTTTTTTTTTCTTGACCAAAAATGACAGCGGGCGCTGTTTCTCCGGTAAGTGAGTCCGTGTACATGTCAGAGTGTGGCGAGGAATTTATTTCATTCGGTTGTGTCCGACGCTAGCTGCCCACGTCCAAAACACGATCTTTCCTATGGCATTTTCATGTGGCATGATGGCGCCAAACAGCACGAGTTGAAGTTGAGGAGGGTGGATGCTGGTGGTGTACTTGTACAACGCAGTGCTGCCATAATTTTCTGGCGACAATTCGTCTTGGATGGAGGTGGGGGGATGGCGGGGAAGGGGGGGGGAGGGGGGGGGGGGGAATGGACGGCATGGGATGGGAGGTTTTGCAGTTGTTTTGTTTCAAGTGACCTGCCCGTAAGCTATTGTTGCAAGTAATCTTCCCATACTCATGTTTCAAGTAATCTTCCCATACTCTATTGTTGCATAGTCTGGAGTCTGGAACCATTCAATACCCTGGCCATTGAACATAGATGGCCCTTACTAGCGTACAAGACAATAGGTCAGTGTACATGCAAATTATATTTGCCCACACATAACCCGTCACTACACGGGCAGGATACAGGTTACCAGCTGCATTCCAATCACAGGTCACAACCGTAGGGTGCATATCCGGAACGGAATCTCTCAAAACATTTCGAGAAGTGTTTGCCCTGAGCGGGGGTCGTGGTCGAATGGATGTGGACATTTGCAGTACAAAACCGGAGATTTCACCTCCCCGCATGCATTGGTCGCTTACTGAGAAACACAAATTCGGAGAACAGCGTCCCACGACTTCTGTTTATATATGCCCAGTCAAAAGTCCCTGGAAAGGGGGAGTGGAATGAGCTGGGGTCACAAAAATCCTGGCAACCTCGGGTATCAAATTTCTTAAAGCGACGGTGCACATTTGCCACCCAAAACCCAGAACCCTGGCGAACTGTTACTGCGGATGGAAAGTGTCCGCACGAAATCCTGGTTTTCGCCAGCCAGCACTTTCGCGCTGGCAAGCCTGGTTCAAACAAAAAACTTCTGAACCCAACACTGCCAAAAGTTGCCCGTCGCTTTAAAGCCGCGGTGCAACTATCTTAGGAACAGTGTCAAACCGGGTTTTGTCTTGTTCCGTACTGGTAGTCAATTGGCTAGCGAGAGTGTAAGTCGTGTTGCGATGAAAACATCTAAGGTGAATGTCGCGAACCTCGAAAGGAAAAGTGGGGGGGGAGGGGTTGGGGGGAAGGAAAGGGGGGAACACACACGAAACGGGAAATGGGACCACATCAACACCCCCATACTCCCTTTCGCTGATTGTTCTGCCAATAACACCTCCACATTGCAAAACGAGAAACCTTATGTTCCAAAAAAGCTGCGCAAAATACCAATTTCACTTTCAAGTTTTATTTTGGTTTATTTATCCATCCATTTGCAAGAGTAATATTTCTAATGGGGAGAAAGAACATCAACTGTACAGATGTGCAAGACTTGGAATGTCATATTGAAATCCTTATTATGCTAAGGATAAAAGCAAACATGGCATCATCCAAGGAGAGCAGATTTTTACACTCCGATCCACTATTGGTGCAGCTGTCCATTTGCAGGGAGGAGGGGGGAGGGGAAAGGGGGGGAGGGGGGGGGGGGGGAGGTGGGGAAGGGAAGGAAACGTTGCACATTATTGAAGAATGTTAGGTAGGGAAATTGAAGAGAGCATGGAAACTGAGATATGATAGACAACCTTCAGTGGCCAAGCAAAGCTGGTACTGTCGGCTGGGCTGGACGAGAGAACGTAGTGGAAAGGGAAGGGACGGTAGTGGGGGAAAGCGAGGGACAGGGGAGGGGGGAAAGGGATGGCTGAGAGAAGCGTGAATGGTGGGAGAGGACAGTAGGAAAGGAAGGGATGTGAGAGAGGGGGAGGAAGGGTGGGAGGGAGAGAGGACAGGGGGAAAGGGAGAGAACGACAGGGGGAAAGGGAGAGGCGGACAGGGAGAAATGGAGAGGAGGACAGGGGGAAAGGGAGAGGAGGACAGGGGGAAAGGGAGAGGAGGACAGGGGGAAATAGAGAGGAGGACAAGGGGAAAGGGAGAGGACAGGGGGAAAGGGAGAGGAGGACAGGGGGAAAGGGAGAGGAGGACAGGGGGAAAGGGAGAGGAGGACAAGGGGAAAGGGAGAGGAGGACAAGGGGAAAGGGAGAGAAGGACAGGGGGAAATAGAGAGGAGGACAGGGGGAAAGGGAGAGGAGGACAGGGGGAAAGGGAGAGGAGGACAGGGGGAAAGGGAGAGGAGGACAGGGGGAAAGGGAGAGGAGGACAGGGGGAAAGGGAGAGGAGGACAGGGGGAAAGGGAGAGGAGGACAGGGGGAAAGGGAGAGGAGGACAGGGGGAAAGGGAGAGGAGGACAGGGGGAAAGGGAGAGAAGGACAGGGGGAAATAGAGAGAAGGACAGGGGGAAAGGGAGAGGAGGACAGGGGGAAAGGGAGAGGAGGACAGGGGGAAAGGGAGAGGCGGACAGGGGGAAAGGGAGAGGAAAACAGGGAGGGCACTGGCCAAGCGAAGTTGATGCTGAGGATCGGGCAAGGGATCGGAAAGGGGGAGGCATTGGAAAGGGGGAAATTGGATGGGACGGGAGGTGACAGGGTGGGACGCGAGATGCTTCGCCACCGTCGCACAGATGCTTCGCTCCGCTGCTCGCTATCGTCGCCCTGGTGCTCGCTATCGTCGCCTTGGTGCTCGCTATCGTCGCCCTGGTGCTCGCTATCGTCGCCCTGCTGCTCGCTATTGTCGCCCTGGTGCTCGCTATCGTCGCCCTGGTGCTCGCTATCGTCGCCCTGGTGCTCGCTATCGTCGCCCTGGTGCTCGCTATCGTCACCCCGCTGCTCGCTATCGTCGCCCCGCTGCTCGCTATCGTCGCCCCACCGCTCGCTATCGTCGCCCCGCTGCTCATATGCGACCACCGATATCTAGCTATCGTCGCCCCGCTGCTCGCCACCGTCACACCCATTCCTGCCTGTCGCTGCCGTTGCGCCTTTGCTACCGCAGATACGTGAGGAATGGAGGGGCGGGAGAGGAATAAGGACGGCAACGGAGGAAAACGAGCGCAATGCGCTTCGAATACGACAAAAAAGGTGTTTACGAGGTAAGAAATTGCGCAGATATTCGTGAGCACATCAATAGACCATGAAACGCGAGAAATCTTAGCGGAAATGGCTCTGCGTAGCTCGGGAAACTTACTTCACGTTAGTAAGAACCTAGTTCAAGCGTGAGAGTTTGCCGAGTTTGAGTTGTTTTGAGTTCAAGTTTGAATTTTCAAGTTTGCTGCCTGCGCTCCCCCTCATCTCGTTGAGCGGAGCTTTTCCCCGAGCCCTCCCCCGTTTCCCCCCCCACACATCATACTGCGAAGGACTTTTCCGCACGCCCTTCCCCCGCTGGCAGAAACCTCTCCCTGCTCGCTTTCCTGTGTATACTGGGTTACGCGGCTTTCAAACTATAATAGTTTGAACTGGAGCCGGGATATCTGCACCACGGCTTTAAGATCCAGAATGATCGGTTGCTCACTTGGTTGGTAAGAAAGTTGGAGCAATTACACCATCGCCAGAGATAGCTGAACAACCTCGCCCTCAGTGCTTTGTCACAACTATGCCAATGCTGTATTGTCGCTGGCGCTTGTTTGTATTGCCCCATTGTATTGCCCCATTGTTTATACATTCTGCCTTTCCAGCTGTTTCCGCAGCTGGGAATGTCGTCTTCCCTCCAGCGCAGCAACAAGCGGTCCAGTAAAGCGCTGCGTGGCGTCAGGCGCGGCGGTGATGCCAATGATAAGACTCGGCAAATGAATCTTGGTTAAATCCTATTCCAGAGGGCGATCACGTTCAGCCAAAGCATTCTGTTGGTGCATGGAGTGTGGGAGCCTTTGGCAGCTTCGTGGCTTCAAGACAGTTTTTGAAAGGAACCCCACCATTGGTTTTCGTCTTGTTCGTTGGGATGTTTTTGGATCCGCTACAGTCCAACGAAACAACTGGAAGCTCAGTCTGCTGCATCGCATCGTGTGTCCGTAGATCAAGGACCCGAGGGTGCTGGCATACTGCCCTCGATCCGTTTTAGAGTGTCCAGTCAGCTTGATGGGCTGTTGTCAATACATGCCAGAAGTTGCACAAACAAATTCTACCTTGCACAAATGTTAACTTCATGGGTTGTGCCACAACTTGGTGTGTATGACGAAAAATATGTATGGTTGTTTCCTCAAGTTACTGTTACACGCTTCAGGCTATTACGGTACAAGCACACATGTACGGTACTTGGGCTGAGAGCTCTACTAATACAGAGACAGCACTATACATCATGGTGATGTGTAAGCTGAACCTCCAACCACCCCCGACATAAGACGATCCATACTTTTGTTAACTCCTGAAAGAAGCATGGCTAATGCAGCTGAGGCATACCTAGGTCCGGGCCCGAGCTGCAGCTGGTACAGATGTAAAATTTATCTTGCCAAATATATCCGTCAGTTCTGGTGGAGGCTCAAAGTGTATTCCATTTAACGGAATGTCCATGTCCATTGCATACAGCAGTGATCCCTCCTTATAAGCTTGCTGGATGGGAAGGCACAGTCAGAGAGGGGTGGAGGAGAGGAGAAGGGATGAGTTGGAAATGAGGGGGATGGGAGGGGAAGGGGGGATGATGGCATTAATCGGATGCGCATCTCTCGTCATCTTAAAGCCGGAAGCCCAAATTGCACAAGTTTTAAAAGGATGACGCGAGGGGTTTTTTCTGGTTTGGGTTTTGGCGATTGATTCCGATTTCGGGCATTTCGTTTTTTTCGCCTAACCCAGCCAACCCACGTATTTCGCCCTGGGGATTGTGTCAGCACCCGAAAGTCCCAAATTGCAGGTGCGCTGCTTTTCAAAGCTTGCACACCGCACTTCGTCAAGTTTTAAAAGCATGATCCACGCGCCTCGCAATTTGGGACTCGGGCTTTAAGTGGCCCCGACTCCCCCACAGTGCAGTTCAACCTCAGAAGCACCCACATGCCCGGTTAGTCACCCACTCACCTCATCATTCAGCTTCAGCAGCTTGCTCCCGGCATTCGTCGGATGCGCGTCCTTGGAGATCTTCAACGCCCCTGATGCCCCCAGAGTGCAGTTCAACCACCGCAGCACTAGTTCTAGAAGCTTGCTCCCAGCAAGCTATAGCATTAGTGGGATGAACATCTTTTGAAATCTGAAACGCCCCTGACGCCCCCATCGTGCGGTTCAGCCTCTGCAGCACCACTCCCCACCCAGGCACACACTAAATGCCCACTCCACGCACCCACTCACCCACATGCTCACCCACTCACCTCGTCATATAGCTCCAGCAGTTTGCTCCCAGCATTAGTGGGATGCGCGTCTTTTGAGATCTTGAATGCTCCTGACGCCCCCACAGTGCGGTTCAGCCTCCGCAGCACCAACCCCACATCCTCCGCCAGATTCTCAAACCGCCCCACGAAATCAAATCGGATCTTGTCGAACCGGCACGCGTCGATCTGCGGCTGCACGTGCGATTCCATGCGTCCGCGGCGCTGCTCCCTCATGAGTCTCAGCAGCCACGCGAATTCTCCAAAGGAAAACAAGTCATTCCCCTTTTTGGCATTCACTAGCCGGCGGAAGGGAACGAACTTGCGGAAAAACATCTGATGGGCGGAAGGGGAGGGGGCAGAGGGGGTGGAAGGGTCGGGGGCAAAGGAAAGGAAGGGGAAGTTCATCCCCTCCCCTTTCTTTGCATTGACTAGCTGGCGGAAGGGAACGAACTTGCGGAAAAACATCTGATGGGCGGAAGGGGAGGGGGCAGAGGGGGTGGAAGGGTCGGGGGCAAAGGAAAGGAAGGGGAAGTTCATCCCCTCCCCTTTCTTTGCATTGACTAGCTGGCGGAAGGGAATGAACTTGCGGAAAAACATCTGAGGGGCGCAGGGGGAGGAGTGGGGGAAAAGGGGAGGCACGGGTTAAGGGGGAGGGGGATGGAGAGAGGAGGGCGAGGGGTAGCAACCCCAACGTTCTTGTTCAGATGCACGGATGCCAGCCGAGTATACTGATTGCGCCCCTCCCCTCACGTCCCCTACAAAACCCACCCACAAACTCCCACCCACCCTGTTCCAGAATCCAGAACTGTCTTGAGTAAGGGGTACCCCCATCAACGTGCTTGTTCAGATGCACGGATACCAGCCGAGTATACTGATTGCGCCCCTCCCCTCACGTCCCCTACAAAACCCACCCACAAACTCCCACCCACCCTGTTCCAGAATCCAGAACTGTCTTGAGTAAGGGGTACCCCCATCAACGTGCTTGTTCAGATGCACGGATACCAGCCGAGTATACTGATTGCGCCCCTCCCCTCACGTCCCCTACAAAACCCACCCACAAACTCCCACCCACCCTGTTCCAGAATCCAGAACTGTCTTGAGTAAGGGGTACCCCCATCAACGTGCTTGTTCAGATGCACGGATGCCAGCCGAGTGTACTGATTGCGCACAAACGATACACCAATCGGCACCCACCAGCCAACACCCACCTTGTTCCAAAACTGGCTTGAATACATGCACGCCAGCTGCCGGGTGTACGGCTTCTGACCCGTACACCCGGCTGTGCGCACAAACGAGAATTTGAAGAAATGCGAGCGCGTGAGAAGCTCAATTGCGCGGTGCTCTGGGAAGTGGTAGGCGAGGGTATCTACACTTCCCTTGTCTCCTTCCCTTCCCTTCCCTCCTCTCCCCTTCCCCTACCCTGCACGATACATCAAACACCCACCCATTGACAAGCACCCACCTTGTTCCAGAATTGTCGGGAGTAAGGCGGCCCGCCCCCCACGTGCTTGTTCAGATACACGGACGCCAGCTGGGTGAATGGATTCCTCACAAACGAGAACTTGAAGAAGTCCGGGCGGGTCAATAGCTTGATAGCCCGGTACTCTGGGAAGTGGTAGGCCAGGATGCATACGTTCCCCTTTCCCTTCCCTTTCCCTTCCCTTTCCCTTTCCTTCCCTTCCCGTCCCTTCCTCCTGTCCCTTCCCCTTCCCTACACCCACCCTCTGGCGCCCACCTTGTTCCAGAATTGTCGGGAGTAAGGCGGCCCGCCCCCCACGTGCTTGTTCAGATACACGGACGCCAGCCGGGTGAATGGATTCCTCACAAACGAGAACTTGAAGAAGTCCGGGCGGGTCAATAGCTTGATAGCCTGGTGCTCTGGGAAGTGGTAGGCCAGGATGCATACGTTCCCCTTTCCCTTCCCTTTCCCTTCCCTTTCCCTTTCCTTCCCTTCCCGTCCCTTCCTCCTGTCCCTTCCCCTTCCCTACACCCACCCTCTGGCGCCCACCTTGTTCCAGAATTGTCGGGAGTAAGGCGGCCCGCCCCCCACGTGCTTGTTCAGATACACCGAAGCCAGCCGCGTATACGGATTCCGCACAAACGAGAACTTGAAGAAGTCCGGGCGGGTCAGCAGCTCGATCGCGCGGTGCTCTGGGAAGTGGTATGCGAGGATGCGCAGGCCTGAGCGCGCCTTGTCGTGGGTCAAAAACACGTCTGACACGTTGCTCTGCCCTTGCTGTTCCCGGAACCACGTTTTCCACCCCGTGCAGGCGACCTTGGGGACGAAGCAATAGATCGCCTTGAGATCCTCTGGTGGTGGTTGAGGGAGGGGAGGAAAGGAAGAGGGGATGATAAGGTCAGTCACTCATTGGCCTGCCCTTGTTGTTCTCAGAACCACGTCTTCCACCCAGTGCAGGCGACCTTGGGCACGAAGCAGTAGATCGCCTTGAGGTTTTCTGCATGCAAGGAGACAGGGAGATGGGGCGATCGGAAGATGGGGAGAATCGGAGGACAGGAGAGACGGCTGATTCGGGCAGCGTGGGGGGGTAGGCAGTGATATGGGAAGTGGGGGCCAGAGGCACGGGTAGGCGAGGATGCGCAGGCCTGAGCGCGCCTTGTCGTGGGTCAGAAACACGTCTGACACGTTGGCCTGCCCTTGTTGTTCTCGAAACCAGGTTTTCCACCCCGTGCAGGCGACCTTGGGGACAAAGCAGTAGATGGCCTTGAGATCCTCTGGTGGTGGTGGTGGTGTTGGGGTGGAGTTGGGAAGAAGGGGAGAAGAGAGGGTAGAGCGGATTGACATGGTTGCTCTGCCCTTGTTGCTCTCGGAACCACATCTTCCACCCCGTGCAGGCGACCTTGGGCACGAAGCAGTAGATGACCTCGAGATCCTCTGTGCGCAAAGAGACGAGGAGATGGGAAGATGGGGAGAATCGGAGGAAAGGAGAAACGGCTGAGTTGCGCAGCGCGGAGGGTAGGCCGTGGGATGGGAAGTGGTAGGCGAGGATGCGCAGGCCTGAGCGCGCCTTGTCGTGGGTCAGAAACACGTCTGACACGTTGGCTTGGTCTTGCTGCTCTCGGAACCACGTCTTCCATCCAGTGCAGGCGACCTTGGGGACGAAGCAGTAGATGGCTTTAAGATCCTCTGGTGGTGGTTATGGTTGCGGGGGAAGGGGTGGGAGGGGGCAAGAGGGGTTGACGAAGACAGTCACACAGGACACGTTCACCTGGCCTTGCTGCTCCCGAAACCACGCCCTTCATCCCATGCAGGCGACTTTAGGCACAAAGCAATGGATGGTTTTGAGACGTCTCATAACAAAGCAATGGATGGTTTTGAGACGTCTCATAACAAAGCAATGGATGGTTTTGAGACGTCTCATAACAAAGCAATGGATGGTTTTGAGACGTCTCAAAACAAAGCAATGGATGGTTTTGAGATCCACTGGTGGTGGTGTGGGTGAGGAAGAACGGGAGGGGAAACGAAAGGGGCGACGAAGAAACATTCGCACACGGCGACACGTTGCTCTGCCCCCCCTTCGCTCACCGCCTGTGCTGAGTCGACTCAAAAATCGATTCACACACGGCGACACGTTGCTCTGCCCCCTCGCTCACCGCCCGCGTTGAGTCGTATTTTGAGGTGCCTCAAAATACACGAAAGGGGCGATGAAGAAACACTCACACACACGACGACATGTTGCTCTGCCCCCTCGCTCACCGCCCTAGGCCCACTATTGCACGTGGCAGCACCGTAATTACACTCAGCTACACGGGTTACCACACAACAGCCCCCCTCTCTCTCACCATCCACTATGAACTGCCGCAGGAACCGCTGCTTCCTAAACGACTCAGCCTTGGGAGCCTCACAGACAGTCGGCGCCACAGAGAACGGCACTCGCTGCACTGAGAACCACCCCTTCTCTGCAGCACCCGCAGCTTCTGCACCACCCATGGCTGCCTCTGCCCCCTCTGCTCCCTCCCCTTCCACTCTCCCATCCGCCCCCCCTGCTCCTCCACTCCCCCTCTCGCCTAACCTCCTTCCCCCTTCCAGCCCCAGGATCTCCCGGGCGGTGCGGGCGGTGGCCTGGGCGTGGAGGAAGCGGGCCTCGAGAGACGCGCGGGTGTGGATGAGCGCCGCTGCTGCCGACACCACCCACGCCTCCGCCACCTGCAGCTGCGCGCACAACGTTGCGTTAAAGCCGCCGCTGCTGTTGCCAGCTGAATTAGCTCCCTCGCTGCTGCTGCTGCTGCTGCTGCTGCTGCTGCTGCTGCTGCTTCTGCTGCTGTTAGCATCTGAATCAACCTCATCTCTGCTGCTGCTGTTGCCGTCTGAAACGCCGGAATTTGAAGCCATGCCCTGTCCAACTTTGTCCTTCGATCCCTCCCCGCCTTTCTTCTCCCTCGCCTCCTCTGCTATTAACAACCTCCTCCTTCCCTGCTGCTTCTTGATCGGTTTCACCACCTCTCCGTCCCCTTCCCCTCCTTCCTCCCCTTCTCCTCCTTCTCCCGCTTCGCCCATCTCGCCCTCCCCCTCTCCAATCCCCCGATCCCCCTCCCCCTCCCCCTCCCCGTCCCCATCCTTCCCCCGCCCCCTCTCCTCCCCCCATATCCCCCCAGCGCCACCAGCAGGGGAGGGGCAGGCGTTTAGGCGGGCAAGAGTGACGTCGAGCAGTAGGGGGCCGCGGAGGGGGTGGAAGGTGCGTGCCACAGCAGCTGCATCTGCCGCCCAGAACGCACCCATTGTGAAATCCACCCGCCTCCTTCCCCTTGATCGCCCCTCTCCTCCTACTCCTCCCCCTTCCCCTCCTCTTCCTTCTCCTGCTGCGCCTCCTGCTGTTCCGGGTGCTGCTGCTACCGCTGCTCCTGCTCCTGCTGTGGTTGCTGCTGCTCCTGCTGCTGCGGCACTTCCTTCTCCTTCAGGTGCCACCTCCCCCAGATACTGCCAAGCCAGAGTGCGCAGCGTGCAGTTCAAAAGAGGGTCCTCTGGACAGCCTGGACAGCTGCCAGGTGGCAGCTCCTCATTGGCCTGAAGATTAGGAGCATGGGGAGGGTTAAAAGAAGATGGGCATGTAAGGATGACACCAGCACTGAAAGCCCATTTTTGGAAGCCCATCTTTGAAAGCCCATCTTTCACTACAGAGGGGCCTGATTTGAACCGGATTGGATGATCACTCTGATTTCGATCCCTACTTCCTCTCAAGGCACTTCACCACCCGCCCTACTTCCTCCACCCTCCATCGCTGCTCTCTCACCTAAAGGTACACAGAGGCGGGGTGGGCGCGCAAATGGCCGCCAGAGTCGCTTTCTATGGGTCCATTCACCCCCTTCCCCTCCTCTCCCTCCTCTCCCTGCTCTCTCCCTGCCTGCTCTCACCTCGAGGTACACAGCGGTGGAGTGAGTCAGCCTAGAGAGCGCGGAGGCGGGGTGGGCGCGCATGATGGCCGCCACGCCTGCTGACGGCCGCACCCCGCCCAGGCAGGCCGCCTCCAGAGCCATCACGCTGCAGGCCTCGGCGGGGGTCTGGGAATGACACGAGAAGGCAGCGGAATCAGGAGAGGGGAATGAGAGGAATGGACACCAAAGTGAGGGAGTATTTGTGCTTCGCCTCAAGAAGAGAGTGTGCAATTGCATTGTCACATCGCAGATCAGTTTCATTTGTAGAAACAAAGATTGGCCGATTACTTTTGTAATATATGTAAGAACATAAACATAAATAACAGATCTACTATTTAACGCATCAGATTGATTATTTTACAGCTTACCAGGGACGAAGAAGCAAGGCCCCATGATGCACCAATAAGCAGAAGAGAGACGGAGTGACTTTTGAGTCGTCTCAAAAGTCACCTCTTTCCAGCTTACCAGGGACGAAGAAGCAAGGCGCCATGATGCATTGGGAAGCAGCAGAGAGACGACAGTGCCTCCCTCCGTCAACACCCCCTCTGCTGCGCTCCCCCCACTCTCATTGCCACCACTGCTGGCACTGCTGCTTACTGTGCTGCTGTCACTTGCACTGGCAGAATTGGTGGAGCAAGGTGGTACAGAGACCTGCGAAGATGGGAGGGCGTGGAGGGGGGAGCGATGTGGGGAGCAAGTGGAGGGAGGCATGAAGGGGAGCAAGTGAGGGGACGCGTGAGGGGGAGGGGAGCAAGTGAGGGATTAGGGGAGCAAGTGGAGGGAGGTATATACTGCAAGTCACCTGCTCTACCCATCGCTTCTCAGCTCTGTACCCCCGTTGAACCATCTCAGGGACGCAAGAGGTGAGTCGGCGGGCATGTCTGCCTGCATCACCACATCACACCTGGTCAGCTGTCCATCAGCCTCAGCAGCAGCGCTGCATCTCCCCACACACCCCCCCCTCCAGTCACCTGGTATACCCGTGGACCCCGTGCCCTGTGCTTACTCACATTCAGCCATCTGAGGGATGCGTGAGGCGGGTCGGCGGGCATGTCTGCCTGCACCACCACGTCCGGCCAGCTACCCATTAGCTTCAGCAGCAGCGCTGCATCTCCCCACACCCCCCCCCCCAGTCACCTGGTATACCCGTGGACCCAGTGCCCTATGCTTACTCACATTCAACCATCGGAGAGAGACAAGAGGCGCGTCAGCGGGCATGTCTGCCTGTACCACCACGTCTGGCCAGCTATCCATTAGCCTCAGCAGCAGCGCTGCTTCTGAGCCTGCGCTTGCTGCTGCTGCTGCTTCTGATCCTGCTCCTGCTCCTGCTGCCCCTGCTTCACCTGCTGCCGAGCCTGCAGCAGTTCCTGCAGCAACAGGTTCGGATCCAGCCAGCAACACTCGTCTTATTCGCTCCCTGTCAGGAGGCCCAGCAAAGAGAGCGTCAAATGGCGCATGGGGAATCAAGTCACCCGTACTGCTGCTTCTGCTGCTGCTCCCTCCACTTTCTCCACCAATCAACGAGCTACGTTCTTTCCGCCACACTACAGTGACCAGACCCCTGTCCCCAACGCTGACAGAGTTATCATATACGTCAGCAGACTTGACGGAGCTTATGGAACTCCCACTGTCCGTCACCCCTGCTGACTGAAACCGTCTGGCCAAAACGGTGGCGACAGCTGGCGCAAGGCAGAGCGTTTGAAGTTGTGACATTGTCCCATCCTGCAATGTAGCATCGCATGCGGGAAACACGGGATTTTTGTTCTATGTATCACATAGTGGTCTCAGAAGGGGTACCAGGTCGCTTTTGAGAATTCTCAAAGGATATAAACTGGAGCCCCACAACGGACGAGACAAAAAGGAAAGAAAGGTAAAAACAGCGGACAAGACAACATGGCACAAACCTCGGCCAGAGCAACAACTCGTGATGAAGGCTGGGTTGTGAGACATCTCAACACCCAAAAAGGAAAGAAAGGTAAATACAGCTGAGTCAGCATGGCACAAACCTCGGCCAGAGCAACGACTTTGAATGATGGCCTGAGTGATCCTCCGTTTGCACTGAAGCTTGTTCCCGTGAGACCAGAACCGCTGCTGTCAGCAGCACCACTGCTTTGAGCAGCGATGAAGCTTGATTCCATGACAAATGGACTGCCGCTGTCAGCACTACTGTGACCTCTGGAGCTTAATTCCGTGTCATCTGAACTGCCGCTGTCAGCAGTACGGTGAGCAGCGGAGCTTGTTTTCGTTCCAACAGCAACACGACTCGCAGCATCCTCGTTCACGCTAAGAACTGCAGTTTCCCGCGCCGTCGCTGTTTTGCTACCGTTATACGCCTCTAACGGAGTCTGACGGACCGTCACTAATTCGCTCTCTAGAGTCACCATAACTGGACCGAGATCATTGGTGTCTCTCTGTATGGACCAATAGAAGTGTAGCACGCGTCCAATTGCTGTAACACCGATGAAAATAAGCACCAGGAGGACGAGCCAGATGAGCGTTGCGTATATCGAAGTGACAGTAACGAATCCGGCGACGTCACGCTTTCCCTTCGCCTTCTTGTCTTTCTTTGAACGGCGTTTGGAAGAGTAACCCCCGCCGAATCCTAGGATTCTGAAGCACGACGCGAATCTCCGACCGACTGCTTGTGACGACGATTGGAGCCATGAAATGGGGAGAGAATTGGAGAGTACAGATGGGTAAGACTGAGAGGAAAGGCTATCAGCAGTGGGTGATATAAGGCAAGAGGTTTCGGCCAATTCGTCTGACGCTGTTTCTGGATGAATGGTCTCGTTCACCTGGGCATCTTTTAGAGACGTCTTTAAAGCATGACGGCTCTCGTTCTCAAGGAGATTATTGGCGAGCGCTCGGTCTTCCTGAATGACGTGAGGAGTTTCTAGGGCCACGTCTTCAATGCGCGAGGCTGACGGGTCCGTCATGGTTCGTCGACGGGAAATGGAAATGCAGAATCAGCTTATATGTTTTTAGTCATATGAATGACCTGCCAGAGCATCTGCCTGAATCTCGACAGAAATAAGACTTCGACCGAGTATTGACGCGTGTGAGGGGTTCACCACATGACAGCGACCGTCTTTTCCACTGCAAGACACGATGCTTTCACATTGATCTAAGCAGCGCGAATCTGCCAAATAGAAACATCATCCTAGGCTATGCCTGTTTTGCGTGGGAGAAAGCGTCTTCTGTTTGAGTGGAAGTGGCTTGGAGATAACTCAACGCGTACTGTATCTGCTTTCTTGCTTACACCAGTGTAGATCTGTCGGTGATTTCGTTGGAAGATGAAAGCCTCGAGAGTGCCAGACTAGTCCAATAGCGCGGATGGGTGATGCCGCCAAATTCGATCAATCGCATGCCTCCTAGCTTGAGCCGGAAGCGGGCAGTGGGCACAACAAATCTTGCCCATATTCTCGCCTGCTGTCACTGGAAAATTCACGAAACACGATGCGCGGGCACTGGAAATGTGAGTTCCAAAGTGACCGACGAAAAACAGGCTCTGACCAGCACGGAAAATGGGACTGTCGCAGCGCGTGGTGCCCTGAGCGATTTATGCGGGCGAGGCGACGGTCAACTCAACACTGACGCTGCGCTGATTTGTGGTTCGCGAACCGCAAAACCGAGGCATTTTGACGGGAAGGTAATCCCCAGGAAGACGAAAGCCAGACCGTTTGTCCTGCACGAGTGTCACCCCTCATTTTCGCTAAAGCACCCTACACAAAAGGTAATAAGCCCTACCCGACCACTCTCAACGGCGATGCAACAGATTAAACCGCAATCAGGCGTGCCTTCGGGGGATGCGCACAGCCCCCAGCTATAACAAGCAATCATGAACTCGAAAAGCAGGACAACCAAGGTGAAGAAACGAGGTAGGACCACAAAGCATCGCCATTTAGTTCTCAAAACGTAGTCACTTACACTTGTAGAGTTCCGCCTCCACGTGCGCTAGGAGTGCGACGTGCTTTCTTGTACTAGACAGACATGGAATTGCCAGGAGGCATTGAAGTAGACCGTAAAAAGTGTCAGGCGACCAACTCGCCTGCGCGACCAAATCGTAGATGGAACCTCACGAGCCTTTCGGGCGCCAGCATCTTAGAAATATCTCAATCACTCGGTTTTAACTCAGTCGCGATTCTCTTTCTCACGGCCGTCATGGTCTTTTCCATGATCGCAGTTGGCGGCCTCTTTCCCCAGCCTCTTCAGTCCCAGAAACTATTTTTTCCGTCTGCTGACTCTTCTGTTACCGTCCGCCCGAACTCCTTCAACGGAATTCGTCGAATGAGCATCCCTGCCATCGAGGTTATTGAGATTCGGCCCGATGCTGCAGAGGCGAGCAGCGATGTTTCGCAGACTGGAAGTGGTAACTCAGAAACCACCGATGTTTTCGCGGAGCAGAGCGAAGGTGGCTATCTGGATGAAGGCGCTACAGGAGCCGTTGCAGGGGAGCAAGAATCCTGGGCTGTGGCTCAGGAGGAGCCAAACGTAGCAGAAAAGCTGGATGAACGCGCCGCAGGAGCCGTTGCAGGGGATCAAGACTCATGGGCTGTGGCTCAGGAGGGGTCGGAAGTTACTCAAAAGCTGGAAAAATCAGTGACAGCAGAGAATCAGGAAGCTGCGACGTCAGAGAAGAATGACGAAATCTCGAAAGATCAGGAAAGCGTTGCTGAAAACCCGGAAGCAGGGTCACTTGGTGACGTCGAAGCTTCGTCGAACGGAGCTGGGGATGTAGAGGGTGCATTAAAAGGAGAGGAAACTGTGACGAGAAATGTCGAGAATGTGGACAATGCGGAGAACTCGGGTCATGCGGAGAGAGCGGAGATTGCGGGGCGTGCTGCAGGACTAGGCGACGTCTACGCGGTGGCAGAGGTACGTCACGGAAGGTTCGACACCTTACGGGTAAAGGCTACGTGTGTTTTGAGTCGACTCAAAACACTCCTGGAGAGGGCGAAGAGTTGGGCGCATGTTGCGGGACTGTGTGACGTCACCGCCATGGCGGAGGTGGGTGGCTGAGGTGGCTGAGGTTCAAGTAGTTGACAATAACCCCCTCGCTCGCTTAACGGGAACCACTCTACGGGAAAATTATATTCCTCTCCTACCCCTCCGTCGCATCTTCCGCATTTCCCGCCTCTCTTTCGTGGAGAATACGCCCTGCCACAATTACACTCCACTGCGTATAGCTCGCTTGCTCACCTTTCCCTCATCGTTTTGTTTTCGCAACCGTTTTCGCGACCGTCCTTTATCCAATGCAGGGAGGAGTGATGGACCGTCTTCGAACCCTCTGTCTCGCGCCGGCCGTCGCGGCGACTCTCGCGCGTCGTCTGCAGGGAAAGCGGGATGGCGACGCGGCAGCCATGGCTGCAGGCACCGGTAGCAGCGGAAGCAGCAGCGGTAGCAACGGAACCAGAGTAACTATTATCTGGGACAACAATGCGGACAATGGCTTTAACTCTCTGTTTGCCGGGCCACCGAGGGTTGAAAGTCTGGCGGGAGTGCCGTCCGAGATGCTCGCTGACGTGGCTGTCGAGGAGACGTTGGATGAATCGCGCAAGGGGAGATTGACGGCCGAGATTGAGGTACGGGGATGTGAACGGGCGAAGCTGCAGGTTCCTTTGATGCTTACTTGACGGATTCCTGAGACGCCTTGGCCATCTTTTCCTGTATCCCTATTATCCTCTCCATTGTGCTAATCATCCCTTCTTGTATCCATAGTACCCTGTCCCATGTCTCAACCATAACAATCCGTGTCGGCAGGTGGCTATCCCAGAGTGCAAGGGGAACGAATCGACCGAGACCAGGACTACCACTATCAGCGCCAGTAGCGAGTCTGTTCGCCTGCTGCTGTCTCGTGTCCTTACTACCCTGTCCCATGTCTCTACTCCAATGTCTCGTATTCCGGCAGGTGGCTGTCTCTGAGTGCAAGGGGAACGAATCGACCGAGACCAGCACTATCAGCGCCAGTAGCGAGTCTGTTCGCCTGCTGCTGTCTGCAGCGGTTGCAGAGCTGGTTGCGGCAAGTGGCAGCGGCGATACCGACGGCCGCGTTATTCTGGTACGTTCACTACATGTTCACCGACTGTCAACGTTTTCAGGGTTTTCAGCAACCTGGGCTCTCCAGGAAACTTACTCCTTCATTCCCTCTTTGCAAATTCCCGCCCTCTCCATCCTTCCACCAGTCACCTCAGGAAATCTGCACTGCGCGGAGGCTGGAGGCGGCCTGCCTGGGCGGGGTGCGGCCGTCAGCAGGCGTGGCGGCCATCATGCGCGCCCAACCCGCCTCCGCCCTCTCGGCCCTCCCCCACTCCACCGCCGTGTATCTCGAGAGGGGAGCTGCCGCTGCACCAGGCGCTGGAAATGCAGCAGGCGTATCAGGGGCAGACGCACGAGCAGCAGAAGGAGCTGCTGCTGCAGCAGCAGGGGGGACGTGTGGCGGCTGTGCGAACGATCCCCTTCTGAACTGCACCATTCGCACTCTCGCCTGGCGGTACCTCCGTGCGGGCTCCACCCCTCCTTCCTCCCCCTCCACCTTTCCCTCCTCCCACTCCTCTCCACTCTCGCCCTCTTCCTCCTCCCCTTCCTCTCCCGCCTCTCCGTCCTCTCTCTCCCCCGAGACATCCTTCATCGTGGCTGCGTTTGAGCCCGAGAACGCTGCGGCTGTGGCGGCCAGCTTCCACCCCTCCCGCGCGCCGCTCCTCCTCCCCGTCTCACAAGCCCGCCTGAAGCGCTGCTCTCGCTCCTCCTCCTCCCCAGCAGCTAGAAGACTGCTTCAGGAGTCCAGTGCTTCGGATCCAGCTGCTGCTGCTGCTGCTGTTAGTGATGATGCTGCCTCCGATGCTGCTGATACTGCTGCTGGTGATGCCACTGGTGCTGGTACTGCTCCTGGTGTGGACGTGACTGTGTGGGAGGGTGACAGTAGCGAGTGGAGCTGCCCGCAGCTGCAGGTGGCGGAGGCGTGGGTGGTGTCGGCAGCAGCGGCGCTCATCCACACCCGCGCGTCTCTCGAGGCCCGCTTCCTCCACGCCCAGGCCACCGCCGGCACTGCTAGGGGGATCCTCTCAGGGGCTACAAGGGGAGGAGAAGGAACCGTGGTGGAAGAGGGAGCAGAGGGAGCAGACGCTGAGCTGAGTGGCAGCAGCAGTGGCAGTAGCAGCAGCGGAGTTTCGTTTGTGGTGGAGCCAAGTGTGTGTGAGGCGCCTCCTGCCGCATCATTTAAGGGCACAGCGGAGAGGTTTCTGCGCCAATTTATCGTGGATGGTACGTTGCTCGCCTGCCTGCCCGCCTGCTTGATTGTTTGCTTGCATGCTTCCATCTCCTGCTGTGTCGTTCAAGGGCACGGCAGAGCGGTTTCTGCGGCAGTTCATTGTGGACGGTACGTTGGCCAAGGTCGCCTGCACAAGCTGAAGAGTCTAGTTGAATGTTCTATCAGCCATCCGCTGCTGATTCTCCCCATTCTCTGTTTCTCCCCATCCGCATTGTCTCCTCATCCCTGCATCTGCGGAGAAGCTCAAGGTCGCCTGCACGAGCTGGAAAACCTGGTGAACAAATCTGTCAGCGGTTACCTGATTCTTTTCTGCCATTCTCATTGTCTCCTCATCCCTCCACCTGCAGAGAACCTCAAAACCATCTATTGTTCGTGCCTAAGGTCGCCTGCACAAACTGGAAAACCTGGTCCATGATTTAAAAGCCTCTCACTGGTTTTCATTCTCGTTCTCATTCTCATTCTCTCCTCATTCCTCTGCCATCCCTTTTCAGAGAAGCTCAAGACAATCTACTGCTTTGTGCCCAAGGTCGCGTGTACAAGCTGGAAAACCTGGTTTCGGCAGCAGCAGCAGGGGCAGGGGCAGAAAAACATTTCGGACGTGTACCTCACGCACGACCACTACAAGAGTGGCTTGCGTATTCTCGCATACCACTATAACGAGTATCAAGTGATCCGGCTGCTCACCCGCCCGGATTTTTTCAAATTCTCGTTCATTCGGAACCCGTACGCGCGGCTAGCTTTGGTGTATTTCAACAAGCATGTGAACGGAGGCCCGCCGTTCGGGCGGCAGTTTTGGAACAAGATGTTTTTCCGGGGTATTACCCCGTACAGGAAATTGGTGGAGGAGCAAGGAGGGAAGGACCTGTTTGGGTTCAGCGACTTTGCGTATCTGCTGAGGAGTGTGGAGGAGAGGGTGAGAAGCTATATGGAGTCCCACGTGCAGCCTCAGGTGAGAGAGAGCAATGGGGATGAGAATGTGGGGGACGAGAGAGAGGGTTTATAGTTTGGCTTATTAGTGTGTTTGGGTGGAAGAGACTGAGTAGAGTTGCAGTTGAGAATATTCTTGTTATATCTCTTACCATTTGTATCCGATCATCCAATTCACTCCTCTGCACCATTTCCATCTGGCTTGCCCCATCCACACAGATGGATGTCTGTCGGTTTGACGCCATCAAATTCGACTTCATTGGTCGATTTGAGAGCCTCGATGCTGACGTGGCAGAGGTTCTCCATAGGCTGAATAAGACTGATGCCTCGGGTGCTTTCTCCATCGGGCTGAATGCGCATAGGACGAATGCCGAGGATAAACTGACATCTTTATACGATGAGGTATGTCAACTGCATCGAGACTCTTGCTGTTTTTGTCCTCTTTCATAGAAAGTGCCTAGTCTGGCGTTCATGGTTATATCCTTTCCCTCTTCGCTGTTTACCTCTATTTGATCGCATCTTGATATTTTCTGGTCTGCCTGTTGATTGCAGAGAGCCTTTACTGAGGCTTCGCACCTGTACGCGTCAGATTTCAACATTCCGTTGAATAACATTTTGTACAATGTACCAGAAGGACTTGCTAGGAAGTTTGGGGTGGCAAATGCAGTTACCCAATAGACGAAACTTGCTAGAAATATTAATTAAAATACGTAACATAGATTTTGGTTTGAGTGGTTTGGATGGATTGAGTTTTGCCATTTCTTGAATCTACATTTTGTATCGGAGCATTTGTTGAAGAGCGAGCCGTGAAAGTTTCTGACACGATTCATCAGTGCCAGTCGACAAGTGACTGACAAATTGAAGGCGCTTGCGGGGTTTGAAATGAAACTCACATACTAGACCACACCACACCTGCGGAAAGTTCTGACGAATTCTGAATCAGCTCTGGTCGCTGGGGTGGTGTGAGCTGTTATGCAATTTCCTGCACTTTCGTAAACATCAGGTTCGGAAGAGGAGAGTGACTCCACACTCAAATAACGGAACCCATACCCGCCCCCAACCACACCTTCCCCGAGCCGAACCCGTCGGTGTTTGTTGTGCTTCTCTGACGGCGGGTCGCGTGCGTCAGCAACCAGCCACTGATGGCACGGATGTGAGAGCCGCCAAAATGGCGTTTCCTGATTCGTCGTCGCATTTTCTTCACTCTTTCTGCCCCAGTCTGACATTCTGTGGTGCCGCCGAAACAGCTCCTGCGAAGGAAAGGAGCCGCATTTCTGCTCATCGCGCCGCGTCTTGGGAATTCTCCCAATCAATATATTTTTCCAATTCACTCGTGAATTTCTCTAGTAGTACCCGTCCGATTCATGTCCGCTCCGTCAGTTTTTGTGCCTACCTCCCTGCTTGCTGCTGCCATTTCTGCCCAAGCACCCTCCCTTCCCCTTTTCTGGTTCGCTCTGTTCTATCCTGCACTCTCACACGGAGCAATCCATGAGATCGAAACGCCTTCTTCTGACAGCGAATACGCCCAACTTCGCCTCGTGAAAACCGCGGTGATGTGTTTCCCTCGTCCGATAGTTCATCCGCCGAGATTTCCTTGTCAGCCTTCCCCACTCTTGCCATCATCCGTTTCCTTAGGAAAATCTCTTATGTGCATAATTCCGTCCGTCCAATCCCTTTTCATTTAGCATCGATCGACTGGCTCCACCTTTGAGAGGGCGGTAAATCTCCGCCGTCCGATCGACTTTCCTCGGTTCGTGCCTGTCCCGCCGGTAGCTTGTGTCAGCTGTCGGCTATACTTCCAAAGTAGGAGCCTTACTCCCCTTGATTCAGGTAGAACCCTCATTTACTTCCCCTAAACGACCGACATTTACGGTCTCGACTGGTAGCGTAGCAGCCAGGTTCTCGTAAACTACCTGTCCATACATGTCCGTTCCGGCCGTACCTCATAGGCTCCTAACGTCCTGTTCTCGTCGAGTATAACCTCCCTTCGCCAGTCTTCAGAACTCAGAGTCGTCGCGGCGCCAAAAAAAACATCTTAGAGGCTCCTAACGCCCTGCTCTTATCGAGTATAACCTCCCGTTGCCAGTCTTCAATACTCAGAGTCGTCACCTCTGATTCCCATCCCAGCAATCGAGCCTCAATGCGAACATTTTGATTCTCCAGTCGAGTTTTTACAGCAAATACCTTCCTCTCCTCTGAGCTGGCCGTGCTAGTACCTCTGAAACTGGTTCTCCAACAGCGACCATTAGCTCGCGTCTCGCCGCGACATGCGCAGCGGCTTATCCAAGCTAGCTCGCGACTGAGGGCAACCTGATTACGGCGTTTTCGCTGGTGTCATAGTTCATCGGTTGCTAGTAGCTGTAACAGTTGCTGAGACGCCTAGTAAGAATCTCACTTCTTCGTGCCGGCGTGCGCGCCATTTCCGTTGTGCCATATAGCGATAAATAGTAGCAGTGTCACCGCTCAGCAGTGGCTGAGCGTCAATCCCGCCGGAAACATCTGCACTGACTGGATCTACTCATGGCGAAAACATCCGAAACAGGCGAAGATCAGCGAGTTTCGCCAACGGGCGAAAAGCTCCTTCCGGTCACCACCCGCGCGGTTACCCCCCGCGCCGCCTCCGCGGATCCGTGGGGGCTGCTGCGGTGGGGGAAGTATTGCGGCAACAGCGGGGGGGATTTATTACGCGTCGCGTTTCACATACTTCCTTTCGCGTTACTCCTGGCTTTAGTCGCCGTCGCCTCGAATTTCGTCGTAGGCGGGTTCTCGCAACAACCGTTTCGCCAAAGCCTCATAGTTCCGCTGTCCGTGTCAAAAATGTCGTCCCCTGCCACCACGTCCGCCGCCGCCGCCGCCGGAAATCTCGCCGCGCCGGCAGAGGGCGATTCTATCAAGGTTTCAGGTGAAGAGGGGTCCATGTTTGGCGGATTCGCGGAGTCCGCGGAACCGGAGCTGGGGGAGCTTTCCGCGCGGAAACCGGAAAAGAATTACTCCGTCTCACTAAAATCAGACGAGAGCGTAGCGGATGTGACTGTAAAGAAGGAGAGGGCGAAACGCACCGGCAAACCCGGAGGAAAGGGACGCCCAAGTGATTCAAACGAACCGTCGAGTAAGTTACCTTCGGTTCAGTCAAACGAGAGTGATTCTGATAACGGGTCGACTTTTGAGGCGTCTGTTTTCGAGGCTATTTTCCAAGCGCCTCAAAGCGACGGTGAATCTGAGAACGGGGCCGGCGGTGCGGGCCTGGTGGTGACTGAAGCGAGTCGGAATAAGGCTGCTGACGTGGCACGTGAGACTACAGCCAATCAGGTGGAGGCGGGGAGAGAAGCTGTGGTGGTTGGGGAGCGACAGGAATCGAGTGGCGGTGATGTGGAGGCTGCATCGACGGTGGAGAAGGCACCGAAGGAGGAGGCATCAACGGCCAAGGGGGAAGCGTCGGCGGAGGCGGAAGCATCGGGGGAGGGGGACGCATCGCGGGGTGCGGCGCGAGAAGGTCAGGCGGAGACAACGAAGGAGGGGGAGGATACTCTTGCGAAGAGCGCGTTCGTCGCTGTAACGGAGGTGTGTGTAGCGGGTATTAGTGTAGCGGGATTGCGAGGGGCGGAAGGGGGTGGCGGAAGCGCTATACTTTTCAGTCCGTCGATATCTGGCCCCATATCATCCCGTCCCGTTTTCCTCCACGCCCTCATCCTCCCCTTCCTCCCGTTTCTCCCATTCCTCCCCTCCTCACCACCACCACCCACCCCTCACGCCCACCCAGGTCGATTTCCCGTCGCGCCTCGGCGTCCTTTGCGCCGCTCCGTCAGTTGCGGCGGTTCTCGCGGCGAGAAACGCTGAGGAGCAGGAGCGAACCGGGCAGGCGCGAGCAATGGCGGTGGTCTGGAAGGGCGGGGACGATCTTTTCGGCGGGCTGCCCGGGAAAGAAGAGATCCGGAGGCTGATGGCGGGAGGACCGAGGAGAGGCGGTGGGGATAAGGGGAACCTAACGGAGCAGCAGCAGCAGCAGCAGCAGCAGCAGCAGCAGCAGAGGGAGGAGAAAGAGGGGGCGGTGGATTCATGGCCTGAGCTGAGTCTGAGTGACGACGAGACGGGAGATATGGGCAGAGAGGGCATGGTGGAGATTAAGGTCCGCTGCTCTCTGTCCCTTTGCTTTTTCCTCTTCTTTTGTGTGTCTTTTGTTTCGTTTTCGCCTTTGTTTTTAGTTTTTACCCCTCCCCCACTCGCTTGTGTCACGACTTCTCTCATTCTCTCTTCCCCCTCCCTCCTCCCTCCTCCTCTGCTGGTCTCTCGTGTGTGTTCCTCCGTCATGCATCTCCCCTCTTTTTTCCCCGTGCACCATCCAACCAACCAACCATCTCCCCTCTTGCAGGTATCAGTGCGACCATGCAGGAACGGCATTTCGAATGAACCCGCGGGCACCATCAAGCTGTGGGTGCGAGACCAGCTTGCAATGACAATCGCCGGCAGCGGGAGCTTGGACCTGGTGAGTTGCCACCGGACCACACTCCACCAAACCCCTTCCAGACGATGTTTTCTCTCAGACCCGCCGCCTGAGAGCAGCACCAAGCACCCATCCGGCATACAAAGATTCCCGTTGGGTTTTGGTGTCTTCCCCGCCTTTCTCTCTTCCCCCTCCCTCTTCCACCATCCGTGAAGCTGATTAGCTTCCCACCTCCGCCTTCCTTTCCTCTCGTATGCTCCCCTCTACCCCCAGACCTCCGCCGAGCCCTGCAGCGTGAGGGCACCGGAAACGGCCTGCATGGGCTTTAATGAACCAGCCTTCCCCCTCCCCGTCTCCCACCTTCACCTCTCCTCTCCCCGTTCCGCCAGACCTCCGCCGAGTCCTGCAGCGTGAGGGCGCTCGAAACGGCCTGCCTGGGCGGCTTGCGGCCGTCAGCAGGCGTGGCGGCCATCATGCGCGCCCACCCCGCCTCCGCGCTCTCCGCCCTCCCCCGCTCCACCGCCGTCTACCTGGAGAAGGGGGCAGCTGCGCCTGGGGGGTACACGTGCGGGGGGTGCAGGGGGAACTCCCTTCGGGACTGCACTGTCAGAACTCTTGCCTGGAGGTACTTACATGCTGGCACCCCCCCCTCTGCTTCCGCTGATCCCTCCTCTGCTTCCGCTCCCCCTCCCTCTTCCTCCTCCTTCGCCTCCTCTGGCGCCGCCTCCTCCCCAGCGTCGGATTTTACCATCGCTGCGTATGAGCCGTCGGATGCAGAATACGTGGCGTCCACGTTTCACCCCCTCCGTGCCCCTAGAATGCTCCCTGTCACCGCCCTCCGCCTAGCCTTCTGCTCCCATCCCTCCTTGCCTCCTGCTGCTGCCGCCTCTCCTCTTGCCGCCCCTCCTGCTGCTGCAACTCCTGCTGATGCTGCAACCGCGGAGGAGGATGGTGAAACTTCACCCACGTCAACAGAAGCCCGTACTGAATCTTCGTCCACAGCTCCGGGTGAAACTTCACCTGAGTCTTCTTCTCCTGCTGAAACTTCCCCCGGGCCTTCCTCAACCGCTGAAACCTCACCTGCCACTGAGGAGTCGAGAGCAGGAGAGGCGAAGGATGCGAGCTTGGGGATTGAGGAGGAGAGAGGGGAGGAGAGAAGTGGGGGAGGGGTGGAAAGGAAGCTTATGAGTGTGATGAGAGGAGGGAGACGACTGCTGGGTGATGGGGAGGGTGCTGGTGGGGAGGGTAGTGGAAAGGAGAGTGGGGCTGTGGAGGGCGGTGAGAGCAAGGCGGGTGAAGGGGAAGGCAGCAGCGCAAGCACAAGTGTTAGTGATGGCAGCCCGAGTGGTGAGAGCAACACAGAGAGAAGTAAGGGCGTAGCAGAGAGCACAAGCGCGGAAGCACAGAGCGTGGAGGCAGTGCAAGCGGAAATGGCTCTTAGCATGCTGAAGGCGCCGGAGGAGAGCGGCGAGGAGAAGAGCAGGACAGAGAGCAGCACAGAGAGCAGCAGGGACGACTCAGAGAGCGCAGAAGCACAGAGCACAGAGGCAGTGCAAGCGGAAATGGCTCTTAGCATGCTGAAGGCGCGCGAGGAGAGCGGCGAGGGGGAGCGCGGCGAGGGGGAGGGCGGAGAGGGGGAGAGCGGGGCTCTGAGCGCGGAGGCACCGAGTGCAGAAGCAGAGAGCACAGAAGCAGTGAGTGCAGAAGCAGTGCAAGCAGAAAGCACAGAGACCCTGAGCGCGGAAGCAGTGCAGGCAGAAATGGTGATGGGGATGCTGAAGGGGCGCGTGGAGAGTGGCGAGTGGAGCTGCTTGCAGCTGCAGGTGGCGGAGGCGTGGGTGGTGTCGGCAGCAGCGGCGCTCATCCACACCCGCGCGTCTCTCGAGGCCCGCTTCCTCCGCGCCCAGGCCACTGCCGGCACTGCCAGGCAAATCATGGGGTTGGAGAGGGATGGGAGGAGGCCTAGTTTTGAGACGTCTCAACAGCCCGGGGAGAGGGGAAGCGGAGGAGCGGCAGAGGGAGCTGAGGGGAGAGCGGTGGAGGGAGGTGCGGAGGGGGGAGCGGCGGCAACGGAGGAGGGGGGTGGTGTGAGTGCGAGTGGGGTGGTCCCGTTCAAGGTGCATCCGAGCGTGTGTGACTCGCGCGCCCCCACGCCCTTTGTCAACCGCCGCTTCCTGCAGCAGTTCCTCGTAGACGGTGAGAAAGGGGGTTATGAGTGAGGGGTGGGGCTTGGTTGGGTGAGGTCTGGATGGGTGGTGGGCTATTGGGAGGCAGCCACCCACTCCCGCCCCCACGCCCTTTGTCAACCGCCGCTTCCTGCAGCAATTCCTTGTGGATGGTGAGTTGAGTGGTGGATGCTAGGTATGTATGTACAATCGTTAGAGACCACGTCTTGAGAAACCAAGAAGCACAATCTCACTTGTGTGTGCTGTCCCCGTTACAGAGCAGCTCAAGACAGTGTATTGCTTCGTGCCCAAGGCGGGGTGCACGGGGTGGGAGGTGTGGTTCTCTCAGCAGCAACGCCGCCCCAACGCCCCCTCCCCCCTCCCCTTCTCTCCCTCCCACCTTCCCTTCCTGTACTCGTTACAGAGCAACTCAAGACTGTGTACTGCTTTGTGCCCAAGGCGGGATGCACGGGGTGGAAGGTGTGGTTTCGCCAGCAGCAAAACCGCCCCAACGCCACAGACGTGTGGATCGCCCACGACCCAAAGCACTCGGGGCTGAAGCTGCTGGCGTTCGACATGCAGGAAAGAGAGGTATGTGGAGGGGTTAAGAGGTATGGTTTTGTGAAAAGTTTGGTGTGAAAGGTATGCAGCAGCAGCAGAACCGCCCCAACGCCACCGATGCGTGGATCGCACACGACCCAAAGCACTTGGGGTTGAAGCTGCTGGCCTTTGACATGCAGGAAAGAGAGGTATGTGAATGGGAGTGGGAGGTGAGTGTATGGAGGTGACAGGTGTGGTGTCCCTTGAAACCGTTTGAGACCTGTCCCTTTTACCCTCCACGTCCCTCCCTCTTCAGGTGATCCGATTTCTCACGCGCCCCGACTACTTCAAGTTCACGTTCGTGCGTAACCCGTACACGCGGTTACCATCGGCGTATCTCAACAAACACGTGGGAGGGGGGCCTCCTCACGACCGCGAGTACTGGAACTCCCGCTTCTTCCACAACATTGCTCCGTACCGCCAGCTGCCATCTGACTTGTTTGACTTTCTTGACCCCCTTCAAACCCCTTCAACCTGCCCCCTTGCCCACCCTTCCCCCTCTTCCCCTCTCCGCCCCTCCCTCCCTCCTTCAGGTGATCCGGTTTCTGACGCGCCCCGACTACTTCAAGTTCACGTTCGTGCGTAACCCGTACACGCGGTTACCATCGGCGTATCTCAACAAGCACGTGGGCGGCGGCCCTCCTCACGACCGCGGGTACTGGAACGCCCGCTTCTTCCACAACACCGCTCAGTTTCGGCGGCTAGTGGACCGCCAGAACGGGTCTGACTTGTTTGACTTTTCTGACTTTGTGGAGCTGACGTGGCACATGGAGAAGAGCAGGCGGACCATCATGGACGCGCATATCATGCCAGAGGTAGGGGATGATTGATGCTGGTTGACTAGCTTGACTTGCTATGCTTCACATAGAGTTCTGCTCTGCCCCTATGCATAGTCTGTCTCTCTGTATTGCGCAGGGCTTGGGATGTTTGAGTGCAACTTCAAACCCAATCCACCTCGGTTGTTCAACCCACCCTCTCTTTCCACATCACCATGTGTCTCTCCCTTTCATTCGCCCCAATGTAGGCTGATGTGTGTGAGTTGCATCGGATCAAGTATGACTATGTGGGCCGGTTTGAGAACTACGAGCATGACGTGGCAGAGGTCTTGAGCCGGTTCGACAAGGATGCGAATGATGCGTTCAACATAGGCCGGGGAGTACACCCGACTGATGCTTCCGACAAAACCGTTAAATTGTATAACAAGGTACGTCTTTATGAATCGTCTCTTCCTTCCCCCTCTCCTTTCCGTCTCCTTGGGTTTTGAAGTATTGCTCATTTGTTCTCTCTGTTGCACCCCTCATAGCTGTCCTTTCCAATTTAACCATGTTTGCCGCCCGAGCAAGTAATGGAGGCATTCATTGTGTGTGTGTGTGTGTGTGTGTGTGTGTGTGTGTGTGTGTGTGTGTGTGTGTGTGTGTGTGTGTGTGTGTGTGTGTGTGTGTGTGTGTGTGCATTTGTGTGTGTGCATTTGTGTGTGTCCAGAAAGCATTGGATCTTGTTGCGAGCATGTACAAGTCTGATTTGGATGTGCCACTGAACGGAATATATTATGACGTGCCTTCTAATCTGAGGGCTGCATACCTAGACTAGTATTGTTCCCCCTCAAGCAATTTTGAGGGAAGCAATTAGGATTTTAGGGAGGACACATGTAGAAGCTGTAAAAGAATGTTTACTATACGTGCATGTTTTTTTTTTTTTTTTTTTTTTGGAGGTGAAATTGCACTATATAATGCGATTATACAATGCGAAACACCACGGTCGTAACCGATAGGGGGAGGGCCGAAGTACAAAGTACTGGCCCTCGTAGGGCTTAGGTACAATGTATCGAGCCCTCCTATAATTTTATGGGGGTTTATATACCAAATACCTAAATCTCTTATCTTGCCCGTTAGAAATCTTCCTTGTTTCGTTGACTCGCTCCGGCTGCAGATGGAACAATCTGGACTTGGTGTGCAGCAGAGTCTGGTTAGATCTGGTTCCATCGTTCACTGCTTTACCGCTCGAGCGGTGGGAAGTGGTAACAGCAGCAGGTGTGCTCCGGTGAGCTACCCACCGAGATGTTCTACGTGCTCGCCTGTATGTCTTGTGACGCTTTCGGCGATGTAGGGTTGCTGCCACTTTAGCTTCAACATTGACGGCTATCTCTCCTCTTAGCAAGTCACCCATATTGTCATGAAAAGGACTTTGCAAAACGGGGGAAAAACGCTATGAACCGTCTTCCAGTAGCAAATATAACTCTTGAACCTTCCTGTATGGATCTTCCAAGCTTGATGCTATAATTCCTTGAGTAACTCCGGCATCTGTTTGTTTTCCTTTCGAGTCTCCCAATGTCATGTCATGAAATCGATCTTCAACTTCGAACACTTCAGCAGCCATGGTAGATAAGTCTTGACAATCATTTGCCGTGGATTTCCATGTCGATAAACATTCAGTTGGTCTGCTCGCAACAGGTGTGTGAAGCTGCTGTTGGAATAACCGAAAGGTTATTACTAGCATTCCCGAAGACTCTCCACCATCGCGTCTCTCCATAGCGAAGCAGACGCATGTACCAGTACCGCATGAGCTCATATAGAGCACGCGGAATATCGAGGGTCACCCGAAGGTCAACAGTCGAAGACAGTCAACGGTCGTGACCCTTGACTGCCCAGTAACCGCACAAGGCAGTTACGAAATGCAACATGGTAACTGTCTAGAACAGCAATAGTCGTGGGTTACTGTAGCAATGCAATTCAGTTAATAAGGGAATGTACCCCTCAGAGTACATGGCTAGCTAGGCTTGCTATTTATACTCTTGTACTCTTACCTTATAATCATCTTGTTCTCTTTCAAATCATCAACAAGGTCATTACAGAGACTTTACAAGTTCTCTTCTATACTTAGCAGCTTTATTCTATCCACTACGATCTTTCGGTTATAACATCAGCTGCCTTGCTTGCCGTTGAATTGCTGCAAATGCTGATAATCTGAAAATATTCCGTCGAGTAATCTCCTTGAAACTGAACTTCGAGCCCTGAATAACTGTCCGATGCCTTCTTGATCTTAGCGTTGCAATGTCTTTACCATCCTTAGAACTAGCAGCCAGTGTCAAAAGTTTAAAAGGAATGAAGAAGAGGAGGGTTGCACTAGCAAGAATGAGGATACAAATAGCAAACCCTAGAAGGGTTGTACTCGCTATAGAGCACCCCACTACAGGCTAGAGCATAATATTCTGACACACCCCCATAGCCAAAGTGGGGTGTAATCAGCAGAGCAAGCAAAGCAGTGCAAGCTCAGGGTGGATCACAATGTCACCACACATTCTGAGCACAAGTTCAAGAAGCAATAGTTTAAAGTTCACAATTATGAGCAAAGCTAGTGGTAGTCACAACGGGCAAGTGAGGAGGAGGAAAGAGACTATGAGAGGAGAGGAGGTAGTGGGCGGCAGCTGAAGCTGCTGGCACACGGCGCAACTGGAGCAACTGGCACACGGGCAACTGGAGCAACTGGCACACTGGCAATTGGAGCAACTGGCACACGGGCTACTGGAGTAACTGGCTCCGCGGCTAAAAGTAGCGGCAGACGAGCAACGGACTCACGGGCGACTGGAGCAACGGGCTCACGGGCGACTGGCGCAACGGGCTCACGGGCGACTGGCGCAACGGTCTCACGGGCGACTGGAGCTGCTGGCTTCACGGCGGCCACCCCCTTCAACCTCCCCAAACTATCCCACTCCCCCTGACACACACCCGCTGCTACACCGCTAGCTCCACTCCCCCTTCACCCCCCCTGAGTACCACTCCAACGGCTCCAACAAGTCCACCCCCCCTCAGCGGCAGCTGCAGCACAGGGAGACGGAGGAGGAGGAGGAGCAGGGAACGGCACACAGTGGCTTCACCCCCATACCCCTCACCCCCAAACCCTAATTCAGGAGAACGGGCTGTAGGAGGGGTGGGGCGCCAGTAGAAGCACGGGGGACAGCGGGGAGGGCAGGGGCAGCGAGGAAAGGGCCGCCCACGGGCCTGGCACAGCCGCCCGAACCGCGCGCAGGCGGCCCGAGCCGCGCGCGGGCCTGGCGCAGCCCGTACGGGCCGCGCGCGGGCCGCGCGCAGCCTGTACGGGCCGCGCGCAGGCCACGACGGGCGACGGGGGGCGACGCGCGGGTCCCCGTCGCCCGTCGCAGCGCCTCCCGAGGGCGACGCGCCGAGTGACGGGGCAGAAGCCCGCCGCGCGCCTCGGGGCGCACAGCGGGCAGAGAACCGCCGCGCGCCACGGGGCGCACGGCGGGCAGAAAACCGCCGCGCGCCTCGGGGCGCACGGCGGGAAGAAAAACTGCCGCACGCCACGGGGCGTGCGGCACAGAGGGTAGCAGTGGAAGTTGTAGCGGAAGCAACGAGGTGGTGATCCCACCCACAGGATCGATCCAAGGGGATCGACCTGCTCTGATAGCATGTCAAAAGTTTAAAAGGAATGAAGAAGAGGAGGGTTGCACTAGCAAGAATGAGGATACAAATAGCAAACCCTAGAAGGGTTGTACTCGCTATAGAGCACCCCACTACAGGCTAGAGCATAATATTCTGACAGCCAGATGTCTTGGACCTTCTGTGTAGTTCATTAGCTGAAGAGAAGGAACTTGCAGGAGCATGGACGACGAACCAATGTTCTCTGTGTGAACATTATTTTGGTGTCGAGAGAAAGCTCTTGCTGAGTAGATCCCGGGAAAGTAATCAGCTTCTGAAACTGACAGTGTTAAGGTAGACATTGTTGAGCTGAAATGTTCCTGAAAATAGGAATCGCAAGCCATGGCGGAGAGCTGCTGACGAAGTGGACGTGACTCGTGACAACACTGTAAACATGCAATCACCGTGCATGTTAAAACCCGCAGGCCAAGCTATTCAAGCTTAGGAAGGTTGGTTGGGAGTGAGGACAATATTTGGCCGCGAGCCAATAGGAGTGTCGAAAATGTTGGCCTAGGTCTCAGAAATCGGGAATCAGCACAGGCGTTTTTGGGACACCCAACCAACCTTAGGAAGGATGAGCCAAATTTGGCCTTCTTGACCCACGGGTTTTAATTGTTTACTCGTTGTTTACTTGCAAGCCATTATGGATTCGACATCAGCGAGCTCTGTTTTGGTCGGTTGAGTGTCGGCGGGTCAACTGTTCGCCAACAGAACAATTTATCTACCAAAACCCGTAGATAACCGGGTTTTCTGTACAGTATGTATATTGATTTAATAACTGCAGCCCTAGTTAGCACTCGAACTGCCTGCCCGAAACTATTCTACAACGTTTGCCCGAACGAAACATGAAGCTACTTTCTGTGCCTACACTGTTGTCTCCAACCTCCTCGCCGTGTATTCTGTTGCGCGGGAGGACTTCATGGGTGTTCTCCACGGTATAGTACAGTTCTTACCTCTGCGCGTTTCCCTTGGCTGCCCAATTGGGAACATCCACTCCACTCATTGAGTCTGACTTATCCTGAAGTGGCCCAGCTAGTTAGCTGGTTCACTTCCGAAGGATGAGGTCCCGGGATCAGATCCCCCCTGCGGCGTGTTCTGCCAGCCCCCCAGAAGGGGGTTACACAGGTGCTCATCTGGGAGTGGATACAACAACCTCGTTACCCAGCGAGGCGTGTAAACAAATGGGTAGGCGGGTTACGACCGACAGCCGGGGTAATACCAAGGGGGCTTCCCCATAACCTTTACTCATTGAGTCTGACGCGACGCGTTTCTCCAATTGGCTGCTTGGCCCCTCTGGGGTCCTTGTATGGGCAGCGTATATTGTCCTACATTCCTTTCACGCGCTTTTGCTCCCCCCTCCTTCCCCACATCTCTCAATTCTCCCGCACCGGGGAGCATGCGCTGCTCACATCACTTCCCCAGCTCCCCCTTCCCCCATCAACTGCCGCTATCTGCTTCTCGTAATTCCGTTCCGCAAACCTTTTATCGTTCCCCCAACTAAACCCCTCCCCGCATTTTTTGCGCCCATCGTTTCGAATACACCTGAACCATTTTGAGACCTTTCAGAGAATCTCGGTATCTCCTCCAACCCTGTACAATCTCCCCAAACATTCTGCAATTCCTAGGCCCTCGCAATTCCCAAAGCCTTCCGCAACTCTCCCCGTCTCCCCTCAGCCTTCCGCCGATCCCTTCCCCCGGTCCCCTTTCTTCCTCAGTCTCTTGTGTGGTCTCTTTTCTTCCTCCGCAGAGCATCGTCCCTGTAATGGCA